TCTATATCAAATTAAAACGTATGTGTATTTAATTCAATCTAATTTTATAATTTTTTTTCTTAAATATTTTAATCATGTAGATTGGATTATAGATATAACTTTATTGACATTCGTAACAACTATTTAATTTTTAATTTTTTATTGTAAATGATGATTTTTTTAAAATAATTTATATGTGAGATCAACAAATTGTAACTAAAAGATTTATTTAAAAATTTATTGCATTTTATTTCATATAATTATTTTTATATCTTTTTGTTTATTTTTCAATTCCTTTTTAGTTTAATATTTATTTTAAACTAATTATTTTCTTTGATTATATTTCAGTATTTTTTAATTTATATATGTTATGTTGACTTCTTTCTTATATTATGCTATTTATATTTTTAATCAGCATGTTTTTGTAAGATTTCAAATATAATAAAATTTATAAAAATTTACAATTAAAATATATTATATTTATATAATACATATTACACTTCAGTTTTTATATGGTTAAATAAAATCAAGGAATCATACCATTCCAGCCAATCAGAAAATCGCTAAAGCCCAGCGTTGGACGAATCAGTGTGCATGACATTAGTCTATTGTCAAGAATCGTGGAGAGAGTATGTGTTACACCGATACGAATATATATATATATATATATAAAATTGAATATAGAATTTGATATTGTGATATAATTTGTGAGAATAATAGATTATTAATGCTTTTGTTTAATTAATATGTATGTGTTTAATCATTTATCAAGTAATATTACATCAAAATTGAATTTTTTTTTATTTTTTATCGTTATTCATTACTCATACATTTGACAGTTACAGTTACCGATAGTTTGTATTATAAATGTTTGAAGTCTGATTTGAATTTATTAGTTATTATTTTATTTTAATATTATTTTAATTTTATATTATTGTTTTATAGTTTTTTTATTTAATTAATATTTAACATGATTTTGAAAATGCAATAGGTTATATACATGGAATGTTATAGAAATGTGATAAAATTTAATTTATTTTCAAAAATTATTTTCAAAAAATATAATAATTACTATAAAGTATAATAATTACTATAAGTTTCTTTTTTGTTTTTTTTGTTCATATCGAGATAAAAATAGATCAAATTCTAATCAATTTTATTTTACACGTACATTTATATATATTTCTTTTCTCATACTATATATATTTATATATATTACAAATTTCTTTTCTTATACTATATATATTTATATATATTACATATTTCTTTTCTTATATTTTTTTACGTTTAAGATTGAAAATGTATAATTCAATTTTCCTAGAAAATTGGCAACATATTATTTATTTTGATATTATGATCAAAGCAGAAAATATTTCTTATAATAAGAATCTTTCTGAAAAATTGATAGTTCGTGTTCGTGTTATATTTCGATTTAATATGTTTTGACTTTTTGCCAAATTTCGAGATTATTTTCTTCCTAATCCAATTCGATAATCGATATCGCGATGCAAGATATCATTCTTCTATCGAAACTCATGACATGTAGATGTTTTATTTGACATAACTAATCTTACGTAATTATTTCAGTAATTATCCTTTTATATATTATTATTTAATTATCTTTATTCTTATTATTATTCTTTAATTATCTTAATTATCTTTTTCATATATTATTATTTAATAAATATACTTATTCAATAATTTATTATTGAATATTATAATAAATGATAATTTTTCAAAGAATAATTTATTCAATTTTCTTTATTAATCTATTTCATTATTTATTGATGAAATATATATTAGCTTTCAAAATGAAATTTAAGCTTTATTATTGTCTTGTTTTAATATAAATGATTTTCAATTTCATATAATTTATATATTTATTTTAAAAATTTGATTATTTTTTTACAGATTAATAATTAACTATTAGAACAAAGCGGAAAGAAAGAATTTTAATATGGATACCGTAAGAATTGTTTGACAAAATGACCAATCGAAAAAATGGTAAGATTTAATTTTTCATATCAAAACAAATATATTTTTATTTTCCTTTTATGGATCGTATTTCATTAATATGTATTTATTAAATAATTCATAATGCATCAATATATGAATTATTAAAAATACTACAAATAAATTAAATTTATTCTCTCTATATTATTTAACTTAATTTATTCAGAAAAATAAAATTATTTTCTTTAACAAATGTTCGATAGGAAAAAAATATTTTGCTTTTTTTTTAATCCACCTATCCCTATTAATGCAAATTTTTTTTTTAGAGAATTATAACTGCGTATATATAGATAGAATGAATGTTTGTTTTTTAATAATATTTTAAATATTTTTTAGAATACAATTGTTCTAATTGATTTAATTATAGCAATTATCTTTTGTAAAATTAGAATCAGTCTTTATTCGCCGATTGTAACCGATTAAACGAGCGCATTATGTAAATATTTGCATATATTAGAACCAGTGCATCAAGAATATATGATTAATCATCTATCACACGAAGAAATAATTTTTAATATTTTCATTAATTTAAAATTTCATTTTTTTTTATTTCAATTTTTTTAAAATAATCATTATATATATTTATTTTTTGTTTTTAAATTATGAAATTTCATTTTTTATGCTATCAGTTTTCACTTGATGATTTCACGATGACTTTCCATGGATCAGCATCGATGGCAATGCAGATTCTTCACATCTAATAGTGAGTTGTATGCATTTTTCCTTCGGTCACTCAATCATGTCGTAGAATGAAAGGTACGAATCGACATGGGTGACTGGTTGTATACATAAAATTTTGCACGAGCACCATGAGTATTTATTATATTCGTGAGTAGTAATATTTTTTCGTATTTTATTTATTAGTTTACGATAGGTTTTCTTGAATATCATATTTTTAAATAATAAATAATACAGTAATGGATCATTTTTTTTTCATTTCATCTTTTTTTATACTGATATTTTTAATGATATAATTACTTGATTTTCAAGATAGCAAAGATAAAATTTTTACTTTTCTCGTCTAAAAATATATAAATATATGTGCAAAAAGATATTTCGTGACAGACAAATTTTGATATCAAACTTACAAGTTTTGAATAATTTCATATTTTTAAAAATATACTTTGATGGAGAATATTTTCATTCATATTATTATTATATCGATCAATTATTTAAAATACAATCATTGAATTATATTTTAATAGATATATTATTCTTTTAATACATATATTTCTTTTAATTAATTACATAAAATCAAAGTTATTATCATTAAAAATAATTTATACCAATTTATGTTTTTAGCTCAGGAATTTAATTCCTTCCGTATTCATTGTCAGGATTTCACTTACAGATGCTACTTGAATGAGAAGAAGGTAATAGGCATTAAAAAATGATGAGTAACAATCTCGTTTCAATTTTTAATATTATAAGTATAGATTTTTATTTTTTGAATGATTTAATTTTGTGTATTACTTATATTCATAACATGGTAGATGGCGTAAAAAGCATTCTGGTCTTTTTTGAAGTCGGTATTTCAGAACATGTGACAAATCCCATGAGATGTCGCTTCTATTTCTCTGTTGTACAAGTCTGATTTATTCGAGGTTGATATTTCAGAATAAACGTGATATAAAAATCTACAAGATGTCACTTTTATTCTAGTATCACTCACATTTATTATTTCGTTTATATCTTTTTCGTCCCCTAATTTTTTTTATTAATGCAATATCGTTTTTTTTAAAATTGATCCCCTAACGATAATCGTTATTTAATATTGAATCATTCTCCGGCAAAGCTAGTAGACATACTGGGTACACGTAGGATCAAAGGCGTGCAAGTTATTCGAGACTTTAGTGCGAGAAGAAACTCGGTAATTTTACGAGTTTTCCAGTGAAGCGAATTAAGATTTGCATAACATCGGTGCGCGGCTCGGACTTAAGTGTCGGCAAATGTAAATGTAGCCTCGTAGCTTAGAACTTTTGCTTCCTCTCGTTCCATCCCTTTTCCTCTTCGTCTAAAAGACGAAGAAATATGAGGCGAAAGTAGAAAGTATCGGATCTCTAAATTTTCGAGCCAAAAGTTGAGCACGATGCTTTGTCCCGGTAAAACAAGAAATCCTTTCCCTCGGTCCCATTATTTTTCACAAGTTGTTCAGAAAATTATTCACAAAACTCGATCTTTTCCTCGACTCGATACGATCCTTGTTTTATCGTTTGCAGACCAGTTTGCGGATTCGTTCACCGTTTCGTTCGAAACGGAGAGCAGTCTGGGAATGAGAGAATCGTTGTGCTGGCGCTCGCGTTCCCAACGATATCGATATCTTTCGCCAATGTTAGTGTAAACTGGTCGCGTTACAACGTGTTCATGCGCGCCTCAGGTGCACCTGATTACGTTAATAATGAACGCAATTGGTGCTCACCTGCGTGACTCGTCGAACGTGCGTTTAATCCGTTTAAACGTGCGAACCTCGTTGCGTATATAGTTTAGCCGAAAAAATTACCGATTCCACCAATTTCGATGCGATAACATTATCACGGATGAAACAACCTGATGAGTAAAATAGAAATTTTCTCGTGGAAAGATACGAAGAATTTTTAGAACGAAAAATAAACAAGCGTGTCGAATATGGTCGATAATTATCAAGGACTTAGCCGGGGATGGCGGTCGGATCGCGCAATGCGGTAACGTTCTTTCGAAGCACGTAGGAAAACTCGATGTCCACCGAAAGAGGGAGGGAAAAAAAAAGCGAAAGAAATAAAATAGCGGAAGCAGAGGGCTGGGATCGAGAGGGTAAGGGTCGTATTTACGGTATATTTTCGCATCGCCTACGGGCTGGTCAAACGTCAATTGAGCTCCGGTTCAACGTATTCCCGGCACGCTGCAGAATCAGTGGGAGGTGTATTTTCCGCGAGAAATCTCGTGTCCGGATAAAGTTGGTTATAGCGTGAACCCACGAATACAACGGATCGTGGCTTTCCTTCGTTTCTCGCCATTCTCCCCTATTCAACCTTTCTCTCTCTCTCTCTCTCTCTCTCTCTCTCTCTCTCTCTCTCTCTCTCTCTCTCTCTCTCTCTC